CACCTGTAATTAATATTGTCACAGAAAGTTCCTGATTAGGCCTTAAAGAACTGGGAATGAAACAATCAAGTCCAGATTGTCCTCTTCAATTACTCAGCAGTGTTATTGCGTGGTGACAGAAACTGCCAACGTTATGTCAACGATGGCAGCGGTTTATTTCCCCAAATCTGTGTCAAATTGTTATTGTTATATATTGTTGTTGTGTTGAACAATATGATCCGATACAAAGCATTACAAGTGGGGGCTGCGTCACCGTGCCGCAGACGTTATCATGTAGTCAAGCCAGAAAACTTAAAGCGTAAAAATCCAAGAAGAACATAACTTTAAACTCCAACCAGCTCTAAGTAGTTTTCAGTATTAAATGAAACGGGACATCATGGGATACACTTCATGGTAAATTTGAGGTCCATAAAATGCTGTTTCATAAGTGCATTAAAGCTGTTATACAACACTTTGACGCACATGAACCAATATCACAGTCATGAGACACTAATTAATTTAATTCAGCAACAAACTGTATAAAATAGAGAAATAGTGGTGTAAAGGTGGAGGGTACTTGTTCCCAGTAGACTGTAGAGATACTTTGGTTCTGCTCTGCAGTGGTTAAGGCAAACTCAGAGATACTTAGAAAATAGATTTGTTTCTCTACATCAATTATCCGACTGCACATGATGATTTATGTCAGTTGAGATTATTTACTAAACACAAGTATCCATTATGCAAAATGCGTTATGCTTAATGCATCTTTGCCATGGTGAGAGTGTCCTGTAAGCATATTAAAGGAGAAACAAATCACCATTGCAATGGTTTTGATGCATGAGGGATGAGAGATAAACTTTGTTGATTTGCAAGAGACATAATGTTATATTCATGATGTGTCATAAGCATATGTATACTTGTGTTATGAAGTGATGAATGACACTATATCAGTAGAAAACAGTACAGCGGTTATAGGTGTATAATATATATTTTTTTACTTTTACTGGAGAAAGAATCCACCCTCGGGGAGAACTTGAGGAAGCCAAAGTCTCTTCATGCTGTCTGTTGGTGCCTGCCAGCCACCTTGTGGTGATATAGAGGTACTACAACATTAGTGCAGTGTACGTGATGGTAGGCAACGAAATAAGGAATTACTTTAGTTCTAACAGATTAATTGTGTGTTTCTGTTTTTAAGTATTCTTAAAGTGTCAACTGCTTTGTAAGTGTACAGTATAAATAAAAAAAGAGACATGATATCTCTTTATTCTTGCCAGTTCCTTAAACTTGCACACCTTGCGGTTAATGTTGATCACACAATACAGCATTGCCCGCACATGAAGTTGCACATTTTAATCAAACTGTAAAATGCCTTTTGTGGGCGAGGATTTCTGCACATTTGTGCCTCTTGCTCCTACAACACAATGCAAATGAGCCACATGCATGAAGCACGCCAGACTCCGGAAACAAAAATACATTGTTCTGTGAGAGTGTAACACTTCTGCTTGAATTATTCATGTGAAAGAAACACTGGCAGCACAATCTGGACATTTGACAACCCATGGCCCATTTGGCATACAAGCTGGTTTCCTTCAATCTAACTGAGGGTGTACAAAAATGCACCAATTCATTTGTTATAGTTGCCATGGAGACCCTGTCCTTCAAATTCATCAGCAATCCACAGCGCTGGAAGTAACATGACTAAGTCACACACACTGCTAATCATATCTTGGATTTTGAGACTGGTAAGATAATCAATAATGGACCGATTATGGTAATTGTTCTTCTCACAGTCTAAATTTACAAAGAACAAAAGAATCCAAGTAACTAACTCATACTAAAGTTTCAGTTACTTCTTCCCTCACTATTATGACCCCGAATCCTTTAAACAGACACAGGTGGGTTTGTCGGACACTGTAGCGGCAGCGGAACGCACATTGCAACAAAGCCATATGTCTTTGATAGTAACCATTACTGTGGCCGAACCTCTCATGGTTGGTGTCAGTCATGCATTAGCAACAAACACACAAATAATAAACAATGTAGAACTTCAACTGCAGGTTACAACAAACACTTCACATAAAAACGGGCTGACACCATCATCACCTTGAATACATTTGCAGACACACACAATTGTACTTACGGTTTGTGAAAATAAAGTTGATGAGAATCTCTCACAAACCACAGTGCAATTGGGAAGTTTCTCGACGCCAGATGTGTTGAAAGTTCCCCTTTAGATGAATTGATCGACGAGCAGGCCAGCGGGAGCGGGCCAGGAGATGGGTTGCTGCTCACCGCGGTCCATCTCTTGATTGCGTTTCCATTGTAGTGCAAATGTATCACCCGGTACGGTGACTACAGAGGGGAGAGGACACAGGTCACTACACACGACGGGGGTTTCACTTTCTTTGCAGGATGGAGGGTTCTCTTTCAGCGGGAGAGAATTGACACGCTGCGCACAAAAGCTCTCTGAGTTCCCTAAAGAGAGACACGCTTACTGATTCTGTCATTGTGCACGGCAGAGGTGTCCCAACAAAAACACGTGCCAACTAAACATTATGTGAACAAGTCAGTGTTGCTGTTCTGATCGTTCTTTTTAATGGTCCAGAATGATTCTTGTGGACGTGGATGAGGACAAAAATACACAGGAGAAAATACTCATGACAGATCTGTCCAATGAGACGTGCTGCATGAAGGTCACCGGATAGCCACGGATCACCGGAGAGGAATGCATAATTCAGAAAGGCCGGCGAGGGGTGTCCTGTGTAGCCTGTTAGCATTCACATCGGGTTACACCGGTAGGAGATGACTGACAGCGGACCACCCGGCTTCCCAGAGAGTCTGTACACGTGTTTCCTAATATTTACCCGTGAAATGTCTAAAAAAGACATTTCACTATTGTTTTTTTTTCATGTGCTAGGTAATAGTGTTACAGGCTATGCGGTGACACCAAATGGTCATTAGTCCTAATCAGTTAATGGGACGTTGGTACTCAGATCAAATGGACCCACAGTGTTCACTTAGTTTGCTGAGTAAATAAAGGTAATAGAAGTTTCAAAGAAAAAAAATACTCGAGAAATAGTTTTGCATTTTGGGGGAAGCTAGCAGTCTTTTTAGTGTGTGGTCCCTCTGAGCCTGGTTCATTTTCTAGGCCCTCTTCAGTTATTTATGGTAATTAAAACAATTATTTAGTCAATTAACTAAGAGACAGTGAGTAAAAGAAAAAACAGGCAATCACATGCACGATTCAACGGTACAGCAATGTCTCCAAACTAATTAAATAGTCTTTGTATTCACTACACTTTTAGCTGAAGTCATTCCACAATATTTAATTGGTTTAACAAGTTTGTTCTAATCCAATGTGTGTGAATAGCTCACTGATCTCTTTGTTGTAGACTTTATAGTTGTTCGAGATGTAAATACTGTAAGCTTTGTGTTAGTGTTTTGGAATAATTACTGCTTGCAGTTGAAACATTATTTACTACAAAACGCTGCCATTTTCCCTTCATAAATACTTTTGTTAACTCATTCTTCTTCCATGTTGGCGAGAATGTCCTTGAAATCCACCTTGTTCATTAATGTACTTTGAAATGAGCAGTGTAAACGTTACGTCTGTTTAAGGATAATATAATTAGCACGCTTCTACTCCAACTTCAAAGGTTAACACATCGTACCGTTCTGTAATGAGGAAGGTGTTACTGTACTTTGGTCTGTTTGAGGAGTAATATAATATGCTATTCCAAAAAGGCATGGCATGCATATTTGTTAAAACGGACTCAAAACGTTTTACTTTCGCAACTTCTGCCCTGGATGTTCAGCCCTAATTCTCTGTTTTGTTTAACGATGTCTGTGTCTACTCTGCGATATCGATTCTATTCCTCTTGTGAGAAGCACAAGATACTTTACTGATGCCCCTTGGAGCACACCAGTATCACGTTATGCAAACATCGGAGGAAATGTGATACTTAACTAAGAAGTAACTAGTGTTTGGAACGGCAAAAAAAAGAAACAAGGTTACAGTTCATCGCTGGCTCACTGAAACAAGTTCATTTCTTAACAAGGCACTCCAATGTTATATGTAAAAATATTAATTTATCCCTCCATGTCCAATAAGAAGTACACTGGTATGTATTATCATCATATGTATACCAGCTACACTGTGAACCAACATGAGCGATCTGAATGGTTTGTTTGAGTCTGCACAAAATCAGTAGTTTAATGTTGTCGCCACAAGGTGGCAGTGTGCTTCAGGGAGTTATTGTATCCCTCCACTCTGCGAAGTCATGTGTTAATGTCAACGTTAAGAAATCACATGTTCACTAAAACATAACTAAAGCTTGTCCTGTTGACCATTGGGCTCTAATCCAGCGGAGGCCCTTCACATTTGGTCAATTTAACCTACAGCTGGGCCCAAACCCAGTGGGGCCTAATATAATGTTATATAGTGGGTCTAAGGGTGTCTGCCAAGGAATTGGTTTACTTTTTATAAGCAGTCACTCAGTCAGTCATATTACCATTCGTGGCTCGTTGATACTGAACTAACTATTACAGAGACAGCTGTAGTACTATATGTTACGCCCCTGATGTAAAGTGATGGGACAAGTGTGCACAGCTTCTAAAATAACTCATAACCTAGTGGAGGAGGCCAAAGTTAAGTATGCCTAGAATGTAAAGTCAATTCGACTTTTTTTTCAAATTTTAATTTAATTTCAAATATTGTAAACGGGAAAAAAACGCGACTTACCTGCCGTCACCTTTCCATAAAAACGACTAACAATCGTCACGCACAGACCGCACGCGAGTCGCCTGTTTTAACAGTAATGACAGCGTTTCAGACACCACACAAACCAGGCAGCAGTCAGCGCGCGTGACGCGCCGGAGCCCTCAGCGGCGCACGCGGCCGCGCTCTGCGGCTCCTTCCCCGGTTTGTAAAGCCGTGATTGGACAGAGCGAGTCACGTTGTCCGCGGAGCTGTCAGTCCGATTCTGCACCATTGTTCCCCCCGAGCAGCCGGAGAGAGTGTGCTCGTTGCAGCCCCGTTATACATGTGCGAGGATTGTGCCGGGTGGTGCGAGACCCCGCGGGAGACCCCGACCCGGTACCGAATTTATTCATGATCTCACCGGCGGCGGAAGGAAAACCGGCTCAGCGAAATATTGCCAAGTCCACTGGGAGAGGGGCGTCATCGACTGGCTGGACACAGATGATGGGAACGAAATGAACGGTGAGTATATGAGCGACCTCGTATAGGTGATGGGTCTGTGTTTGAACACATGCATCGATTAGATGACGGGGAAGGGGGGTGTTTTCTTTGTGTTTGTCATCTTTTCTCAGTTACAAAGAGGACATTTTCTGACCGACACCTTCTGTTTCGTGATCTCAATGTGTTGGGACCCATCCCCGAATGGTCCATTTGTCAAACTCTTCCTGTGCGTCTCATTTTGCCCTGTAGGACAACTGGAACAGTCTTCGGATTAAGGAATGACACTTATGAGTAAAGAGGTTTATTTGCCTTTGTTCCAGCAAAACCATTGGCTCTGCAATAAAAAGGGATCCCACATACATTGCACATGTTTGTCACATAGGCCACTAAACCCGGGAGTCAGCTGAAAGTCTGGGCCTCCTGCAGAACCTCCTGCAGAACAGGCAGATAGGGCAGAGCTTCCTTTCCTCGCTCCCTGGGGATGGCTCCCCCCCTGCACCCCGTCCCTCCCACCCTCCCGCCATAACAGTGTCTCACAAAGAGATTTTGATAAAGCTCTGTCCATCATCTATACAGCGATGCTGACATTTCAATGACAAGAATCTGTGCGCTACAACTCAACCGTTACAAAATGCTGCCTCTGTGCTCACAAGTCTCTTAGAACTATAGAAAGGACACGGTGACTATTGCTGACTAAATGTTTCTATTTCTCCTCTCCTCTCTCCACAGAACAAAGGCGTTTAACTGCAGTGTAATATTATTTGCTCAAGGTAAGACCACGTCTCCTTATTGCCGTCTGAAATATCACACTGCAGCTTTCACTACACATTAACATATTGAATTCATGCCTGCCGGAGAGACGGCGCTCAAAGCTCGCACAACTGTTGCTACGCTGCCACAAAAGACCCTCTTGATAACAAGATAGGATGTGATGTTGATGCAGACAACAGTGTTTAGTCAATACGGACAGCTGCGCTATTCTCACCGGATTATAGCAGAGAGATGCCTGAGATATGATGAAAGGACAACATATGCTTTCTAGAGTATAGGATGTACTTAATGTGTATTTTTGATGATAGACTTCGACATTTACAAGGCAGACTGAGTGAGGTTTTCTTTAACTGTTGCTAATGAAGCCTTACACTTCCAATATGTAACCAAAACATGCAGATATGTAAACTGTTGTCCTGCCGATCTCGACAGACCACTCTGGTGTGAACATCTTTGTGATCGGGGTTTGAAAGATGGAGGCGTTGAGCGATATGTGTGAACGTATCTTCTGACCCATCTGTCTCCTCGATCTATCCTCAGAGGAGCGGAATATAATTAGTACACGTGGCGCCGGGTTTAAGGACATTGAAACATTGAGTGGAAAGGAAAGGTGCTATGGCTTAAAAGCAGCAAAGAAAAGCCTCTGCTGTGGGTGAATAGTCTGCACAGAAAGATCCACGTGCACAGCTACATCTTTTTGTTTCCTTCTTTGTGGAGAATTCATGAGTGCACGGTGCACTAGGAGGCTCAGGCAGATTCGAGTGAGTTTAAAGATCACATTGTAAATTGATGTGGGCGAGGCTGGATTAGGTTTTAGGTTTAAGAACATTGTAAACTTGTGGAAAATTAACCTACGTCCCCAAAAGGCTGGACCAGAATGATTCCCAAGGCATTCCCAAGGCAAGGATTTGAGGCACAAACCTTGGGAATTATTTATAAAAAGAAGAAAAGGCAATTTTGAAATACAGCTCATTTATATATGTTATATTCCTTCACACAAAGAGCATTATATCTACTCCAATGACCGATGTTAGACATGAAATGAGAAGATGTTAAGATTTTATTTTGTGTAGTTTTGAAGCAAACATGGCATCTGTTTTATTTTTCCAATCAATCAGGATAAGACGTCGAGCTAACAGTAAAGGCAGCGTTCTTTCTGAATTCTGAATGTGAATTTGTCACTGGGCTCAGATGAGATGTTCTGTTTGTACACATACAATCAATGATCTGACAAAGCCACAGTAATTCCATTAAGAAAACCTGTTTTTATTTTCCTCAAAAAACACCAGATACAAATGGCAGCGTCATTGAAGTAAAGGCTTGTAATGTGAACTAATACCAGCCTTTCAGGTGCTTTGTGCGTCTCAGCAGGGCTCATGGTTCCAATTTAGGTGCTTTTGATGTGACTCTTTTTTTTGTCTCTGGCTCCTTCCCGGCTGAGCTCGCAGCTTTCACGGTTCAGCACCGAGCTCTCTGGAGATGTTGCCATGACACCTATTAGGAATCTTTTGTCTGCTGCCAACTCATTAAGTGTTAAGGAGAAAAAAAAACTTATTTCCCTGCATAATGTGTTTTATTTGTCAGTGCACGGTACACCCTCAGTGCCTTATGAAGAAAAAACATAAACATCTGAAGTATTTCTTTAATTATTTGTTTTATTTGTAAATATACTGCAGGCCGTAGACTACAGATTACACACTTCAGTTTTCTTGTCAGTGTAATACACTAATAAAACAATTAATATCTTTATTCAGTGATACTTTTAATTATTCTGTTTTGGTAAAGGTTCAAACTAATCGCACAACAAATCAAAGCAGTAAAAACAACCTTGTTTACTACTTACAAGGTTCAGTTCTGTTCCTGGGATTTATTGTGCGATGTGAGTAAACAAAGATTATTGTTTGTGGTCAACCACTGATCTTGAGCGGGGCTTATTTGTAAATGGGGTAACGGTACTCCGGAGACAAATACATTTAGTTCATACATACGGTCTGCTTTAAAATGTTAAAATGTAAAGGTGCCTTTAAATACATTTTGTGCATTTCTATTCCCTGTAATTGGCTCTGCAGCCACAGTGGCGAACGCTACTTAAAGCTGTAGCGTAAACTACCACAAAACTGCTGACAGAGCTGACGGTGTTTACCTGAGGGGGAAGTCGAGGGTGGGTGCTACCCTTCTGCCGTGGGTCGGGGCGCTGTTATCAGGCCCATAACACACACCAACGCACACTAACACGCACTAACACACGGCGTGACCTTGTCAAACAAACACGGAGAAACTCGGACGCTGAAGGAGAGACTTCATTCTCTTCCCAGGTAGAAATGGACCACAGTAAATCCCAACATAGCAGATAGTTTTGTACGTGCTCTGACTTGTGTGCGTAGTACATTTAAAGGCGTTGTGAACACATTTTCTCAATCAGCTTGTTTTACGTAATTCTCTGACAAAGTGAGAATGAGTGTTCAGTGATCAGACTTATTCATTGTGTTCTTCTCTTTGCTGTGTGGTTTGCGTTTGGCGGGGCTGAGTGGGGGAAATCATGGTGCAATGTGCGTTCATGCTCTCATCAAGATTTCAATTAGAACCTGATAACAGTTGGTGTGTTAGTTTGTGTTAGTTTGATCAGTGTCTGTCGAATCTCAGCTAAATCGCTCACACGGTCCCGATGAGGCAGGCAACTGCTTTATAAATGATATCTAACAGTGGCTGTTTTCTGCCTTTGAATTTGAGTGATGCTCAGTGGATGAGTCATGAGTATTCATCGTGACGTGGTTGCACACTTTGGCATAAGGATCAATGTGACCAAAAGCTTCAATATTACGTTTTGCAAAATGGAGACGTGCAGATGTTTTCTGTTTTGTTTTTTGTTCTAATTTAATTTAGGAACAATAAAACCAGACTTCTGATTATTAAATCTGTCATACGGTACTCAACAAAGAAACTATGGAGAGGAAAGCATTGACACATTGAAAAAGAGAAAAACATTATTGCTGTAATTGTAGGATCCTAATACATGTTATTGATATTTCTCAGTATTTGTGTCAATTTGCTTTTTATAATACTCAGCACACTGTAATCAAGCAGAGACTATGCTCCCTATTTTAGCAATTTTCTCAGATAACGGTGCAAATGTTTTGCATAAAACAAATTATTCAAGATCTCAACATGATACTGGCTATATATAAATGATAAGGCCTTGTCTGCGGAACATGAACTCCACAGCTTTCCCAGTCGGAGTGAGAGATGAAAGCAGCGTCGTCTCTATGAAATGCTTCGGCTGCTCTGTTTCTGCCAGCAAAACCGGCTTCTGCAAACTTTTAGGCGGCATGGGAAAATATAGTCATAAATAAAATATAGAGCCATAAATAATTTAGGCGAGCTTTGTGATTGACATGAGGGTGAGAGACCGTGATCCCGCCTCCGCTCTGAGTGACTTGAATTGCAGCAAATCGAAATATTAGTTTGAATGTGGAGTTTGTTCGTTCAAGTGGGTTTTGGTTTTGTGTGTGTTTTAAACACTGCTGGCAACAAGAAAGATGTTGGATGAAATGTATCCTCAAAGCTAACGCATGGCTTTCATCAAAATACTGCTAATGTTGTTTGCTGTGAGACAGAAGAAAAGGAACGTCGTGCCAGTTCATAAGCCCTCATCAAGATACATTTTTTTAATTCTGAATCATTTACAGGTTTACACTGGCCTTTTGTCATTACTTTTAATCCAACTCTTTATGATGATGTTTAAAGCAAACGAGTGCACCCAGATATTTAGCAATAGATATGGAAACCTCCTTTGCTTTGGACCCATGTGGTTAATAAGGTGCTGTGCTTCCTCCATGGTGCTACAAAGAGGAAGAACAGATCAATGATTCCCAGCACTCGGCTGCACTGTAGCCGCGGGAGGGAGGGAGGGAGGGAGGGAAGGAGGTAGGGAGGGAGGGAGGGAGGGAGGCTGGAGGCCTCGCCAGGCTGCAGCTCCTCCGTGTGCGGAGTGCTGAGCAGTGGGCTGCAGTCTCCTCCCTTCCCGTCTCTCTCTCTCTGTCTCTGTCTCTCTCTCTCTCTGGCTCCTGCTACCTCTCCCCCTCCTCCCCCTCCTCCCTCCTTTCATGTGTGTGGAGCAGATCTGTCTGCAGCCTCAGGCTAGTGCAAGTTAACAAATGTGTCTCATTTGCATAAATCTGTAGATGTCGCTACATTTCTTTGAACGGATGCCTCTGTGTTTAATTGCTGAATGTTTTTTTTTCTCCCCCTTGTGCATGTTGGATTCTTTAATGGCCGACTGAGAATGAAGATGACTGTACCTGACAATTAAAAGTTATTTAATTGCATAATTCGTCCACCTGACCTTTATTGCAGTACACATTGCAGCACAACGGAGAGACAGCACGAGCAAATATTTATCATCGCTGTCATTGAACATTTGGCAGATGGTTTTCAGTGTTCTGTGAAAATAATGAGGGTAATTATTTGAGCAAGTTGAAAATGTGTCGTGGCTACAGCTTAATTGCAAAATTTGCACAAGGATTTTTTTCGACTTAACTGCTGCAGGTCTTTATATACAAGCTATAACCCTTTTATTTTATCCATCCTTTGCCTAAATTTAGATTTGGTGCGTGTCCGCGCTACTCTTTGTCCTCAAAGGAAAGGCTGTGTTCCTGAACATGAAGCTAGCGTGTACATATTAGGGCAGGTGCCCTCTGACCTCTCACAAAACACTTGTCATTTGTGATTTGGGAATCCCACGCCTCCTACAAAACACTTTCAATGAATACATGAGCAGTGTGTTTGTGTTCTCTCCGAGCCGGGGATCCTCCGCTGACATCATCTGTAGCTGTATAATCATCCAGGCCACAGCTTCTCCTCAGGGGAGTCCAGCTGAGACCGAGCTCCTCTTTCTTTATATCTATCCAGTTATCGCTCACGCTCCCTGTGCATCCCTGTGAAGCTGTCTCTCCCTCTCTCTCTCTCTAGGATGCCGAATATGGTTGTGTGCGACACCAGT